AAAAAAAAATCCATGAACTTAGTTAATGTTTCCAGACTAGCTTCAACATTATTAGTGAGAAGAACCAAAATCTCAGACTACTAAATAAAGGTTAAAAAAAATTATAATCTTTCTCAGTAAGTTATAATCATATTATGAACTTTATCATCATATACACACATAATTAGAGTTTTAGTTTGGAAGTTAAAAGAGGTTGGTTTAGTCGAATTTAATGAGAAAACAATTTTAGGACTAATGTTTTAAATATGACTTTAATTATAAAATATGTTACATCATTATTATGAACCTTCACCATGCACAAGGCAAATCACCCATTACTCGGTAAACAAGATCATATCAAAACATAACTCAGATAATCAATCCACAGTACATCTCGTTGAAAATGAAACCAACAGCCAAAATCAGAAACAGAACATGAAACATTTGAAAAACCAAAAATTAGTCTGGATATTTTTTCGACTGAAGTTCCAAACAAGCCAAAACACAAAAGAGTCTAAATAAATACTTTTAACCTATGGTGCAACCACAACAATTCTGCCTGCCACCTGGTCCAAATCCCGTTGCCCGCTAGATGTGATCCTTCGTCCACTGTTGTAAACAAATGACAGTTGCTCGTTTTTAGTAAAAGGAAACAAAACGTTGGGCAATCTAGATTTAGGCAGGGGGCTATGTGAAAATTTACACAAAACTCAAAAAGAGGCCATCACGGCTATGTTTGGTAAAGCTCTTGTAACTGAATTTCGAGCTTATAGCTGATAGCTTATGACTTACGGCTAAAAAACTAGCTTATATGATAAAAGTGTTTGGTAAAACTAGCTTATATGATGTAAAAATTTTATGGGTTTATGCTACCCAGAGAAGCTTATGAGATAATCTCGAGTTTTTTTTTTTTTTTTAAAAAAAAAAGCTCGTACTACCAAACCAAACTTATTTGAATATAATAAGCTTATAAGGTAAGTAGGTAACCAAATAAGTTATAAGCTAGCTTATATGCTTGCCAACCAAAGCCTACGAACCATAAGTTCTTTTTTCATCGATTTGAATGCAGAATGAACCTTTTTTCTTTTTACATTTGTAGTTAGTGCTAAAAACTATACAATATTACAATGCAGTCACATCATATGGTACAAACACAAAGATTCAACATACTTTCCAGACCAAATATGCTGCAAATAACAAAAGCAATGATGAAGCCGAACATTATTCAACATAAATCAAGAACTTACCCTCTCGGGTCCACCTCAACAATGCTCATCGTCTGCAACTGCTGAAGAATGTGACGAGCAATTGACCCACTGCTCTTTCCGAAATGGGGTGGTCGGCTTCCATTCCTCTTGCTTCCACCATAAATCCTTCGGAAAGCACCAACACCAAGTCCTCCCCTCAGGTAGATTTTACGAGCCATGGAAGCTATAACACAACACAACCCCCCAAAAAAGAATAAAAATGTATTCTTGAAGCTATATTATCCAGAAGCACATCATAATGCGCAACATAAATAGGAATTAACATTTTAATAACAAAGCTGAACATAAAAAAAGAATAACGAGTAAAAGTGCATTACCAGCCCTGATATAGTACCAATCAGGATCATATGGTGCAAGCTCTTTCAGGACACCGGTTTTCACCAAATCAGTCCACTCGGGAAGCTCCATCTATTGATTGTGCAGAATACAAAATGTAAATGCATTATGTAGCCGAAGGGAATATACCTATTACCTCCTTTCTAAGCAAAACAAACTCTGGTGGGTGTAAGAATAATACAAAACCAAATAAAGATCTTCATCAACAGGGAAGAAAAATTTTGCTTAACTAGGCTAACTAAACTTAAACCAAAAGGTAACTGAATCACAGCATCAATCATCCATTAATTAATAATCTTTATGTGACAAGTAGCTCCACAGTTTCATTCTTCAGCTAAGGGCTTGATTGTTTATAAAATAATTTGTTCAAATTGAGTTATTTTGGTTATAAATTATTTTGTAAACAATCACCCCCTAAATCATTACACCATCAGCTAACAACTCCACTGACTCTTAACAACAAAATTATGAAGTCATCGACTGATTAAAACTGAAACCATAACCTCCAAAAGCAAAGTCATGAGCCGAACAACAGAGAAACTAACAATACAAACAGCCAACTTTCTTTGCTTGTTATGGCAAAAGACAGCTAAATAAACTTAAATCAGATTATAATATAGAAATGACCTACGATCATACAGTAGCTCAAATAGGCAAAACATTTTCACCTTGCCCGATCGCTTGAGGTGGGCGGCGTAGGCTTTCACGAACTCGTGGGGGGAGACATCTTTGACAGTTTTCGCGGTCGCCATTGCTGAGGAGATCAAGCTCAGGCAGCTTACTTTACCACCTCTTGAGAAATGAGAGATGCAGCAGACGCTAGGGTTTTGGGGATTAGGTTACATGCATTTATATATAATCTTTATATCCGTCGGCCTGTATAGAATGTGGCCCGTTTTGAGTGTTTGGGCCTTGCTTTGTGCACTTTATTGCTTTTGGACTTTAAAGTAGGTTATAGCCTATATAGTTTGTTTGAGGATCAGTTTTTTATGTTAGGTAATTTTATTGGGCTAAAAGTTTTTTGTTTGAGTTACATCTATCTACTCATCTCCAACACTAACATTATGGCTTAGTTGTATTATTGATTTTGAATTTTCTCGATATACTAACAAAAATAGCCTATACTATCATGAGTAATACACTGAAAGTTGGGTATAAAACTTCATTAAAATAGTCTGAAAGTTACATCTATATATATAAGTTTTTACAATGAAAGTTTACCTCTAATGCTAAGTTTGCTTTGTTTTCATAATAATTAACTTAATTGTCACTAGGTGAGAATAATATATATATATATATATATATATATATATATATATGATATATATATCATATTCATTCCAATTCAACATTTTAATAGTTGGGTCAGAAATGAAATATGTCAAACCGTCAACAGCGAATCTAACTGGTTTCTAGCCTCATAAAACCATCGGTCCCAAACTTAATGAGGTAACTTGGCAATTCTCGAGGGATAGAATGGTGAAGATGAGGTTTTCAATTTTGCAGAAACTTAGCTAAAAGAATCGAAGCTCCAAACCACAGATGTTCATTTGGAAAGCTGGAAAATAAAGCAGTGCCGTATCGGCCAATACTGAATATATAGTGCAGGATATAATCTCAATAGAATTCAAAAGGAGCCAAAGAAAAAATTGATGATGAGCGCCCCGTCCTTAACAAAAACAGAGGAGAGCAGTGGCAACAGGAAAGAAAGAATACTTTCTTTCACTGGATGAAAGTGCCAGGAAGAGTTGCGACACACTCCATGATCCACCCGATGAATTTCTCTGGAAAGCCAAGGCCACAAAGCACTTGTTAGGACTCAGCCAGCAAGCTAGCCCCTTAGGACCATCCGGCATACAATGGCAGACCATGGGTGACGGGTTCTCAGCCCGTGGAGAATCGAGCAAGACCCACTTCCAAAGTAATAAAAGGTTGCTAATACGCCAATGGAGATAACAAAAATGTTCCAAAAAAGGTACAAAATCGACATTTTCCAGTAAACAAAATCGGGTACAACTAAAAAAAGATTAAAAATCGTATGTTCAATTAATTGAAACAGATTTACATGCAAACGAAACATGCAATATCAACATAATGTACACGACAGCAACATTTTCAAAAAGGGTGTTGAGTCCCTCCTTCAACAAAGAATTTCCCCATCTCCCAAAAGAACATCCTAAAATCACTTGCTGCAGTCCGATAACAATATTCCTAGATTCTGAAGGCTCTTATCCAGGCATTAGCTTTTAGCAATGAACAAAAGGGAAACACAAATTAACAAGTGATGAGATGACTAATTAACCAACAACCTCTCTTAGCATCAAAGCCCACATTGAATCTCATCCCAATTTTTGGTTTCTGCTAGAGCTTTGTTTTCCTCCCTTTTTTCCTATGAAACTGTACATATGTTAGCTTTTTTCTTTACCAGTAAGTATTTACAAACTATTGCCGCTGCCTGGTTCGAGTGTTGTAGCTTTTCCGCTCACTCTTATTTAACCTACTTGCACTATATGCCCAATCCTCATCGTCTGAATATTCATCTCCTAAATCTAGTGCTCGACTAGCTTTGGCACTTTTCCTGGCACTCGAAGGCGGTCGTTTTCGTTTGATATTTGCTGTGTAAGTCGAATAGTCGACCGTATCCTCCTTCAATGCATTCTTGAAGTCCTGAAACAGAACGGACTAGGGTTATTTTTGAAAAAGTTGGTATGCTTAATTTTTTGAGGGATTTTGAATTTATATTAAAATAATAAAATAACTAAAATGGATTTGATGCAAAAATATGAAAGAAATGCTGTGAAGCGATAGTTATGTGGGTGAATGAATAGTGTGAATTAACGATGATGTGATGTGTAACAATGATTGTTTGGTATTATTTGATTATATTGATAATCTTGAGGATAGTGGGAGTGTGGTTAAAGTTGAGCTATATTTTGAGTGTGGATTGAAAAATTTTATAAACATACACCCCCTTATAATTTACCAAAATAGAGCAATCTTTTGAAATTACGACTACCCCTTCTTGATATTTGTTACATGAATACAAAAAACCTCAAATGAGTGAATATGTCACTTTTATGGAGATATTTGTAAGCTAATTAGGCTGATCTTCGGGGTTAGTTCTTGCAACTATCGCAAAAGCATAAGATATGAAATACCAGAAAGTTGACAGAGAGGAGGAATTTTTGGCATGTAAAAGGAAACCATGTCGATAGCAGTTAATACGAAAAAACACATTTATGGGTCAGAAAAATGTCAAAGATGAGCACGTGAATCACCTGATAGCTCCTCAAGAGGTCCTCATAAGTGCTGGGAGGGTCGATGTTCACATCACTAATATTGAGAGAAATATTTTGCCGTGATAGACTCTCACCTGGTTTAACTGCTTCGTTTGGAGAAAACAACTATGGAAAGGAATGAAAAGCGAATTTAGATCATCAAGTAGTAAGTCATATAAGTCTCAGAAAACGAGCTAGTCACCTGACAGCGGGCATCATCAAGACTGTACACAATCTTCAGGTGCCTCTTCAGCCTCAGAAGAAGCTGCAAAGCACCTGCTGCTAGACAGTCGGCCTGTGAAAGATTTTTTTTTTTCATTAAAAAAAAAAGGCCTAAGCTACTTTAAGGTACAAAATAACAAAACTTCAATCTCAAGATGGTGAATTTCTAAAAATTCAGTGCTAATTTGGAACTTCATAATAAAATGCGTATGACCTAAAAGGTGCACAATATTTAGTTCTAGGCGGGGAACAATAAGAGATCAAATCACTCATCATCTGACACGTGTCACAGATTTCAATGATACTGACAGGTTATCTCTTACTCCTCTCTCATCTACCCTTTCCAAATTTGCATAATCTCACTCTACTGTTCCACATTTCTATTTTCTTTTATGGTACACCACAGTATCAGATCAATTTAATTTACAAGAAAAAAAAAACAGAGAACATCATACGACAACCCTTCCTAGCAATATGTGGTTTAGAAGAATCTGTTCCAACTTGCAAAGATACAGGGAAAACAATGGAGGAACAATGAGAGTTCCATCTTTCAATACTTGGGTATTACCGACACTTTTCATGTAGTCAAACAAAACAATGGGACTGTACCTGGATATTCTGCAAACCAATGGTAGAGATGTTATTAGGATCTCTTGGGGTCGTAGGATTCATATTTAGATCCCTATATCCATTATCCCCAAAAGATTGTTGATCATGCAACTCCCCTGGTATTCCATTATTCACATCAATTTCCATTGCTCTTTCACTGTCAGGGTTGTCCGTTTGATCGGTTTGAGCCTTCCCATTCCCATCACTCCTCCCTTGTAATAAGTGCAGAAAGTCCTTCATGTTTGACTCTAAAGTCCCAGCTCTAACTTGTACGAGTCGATTTATAGTGTATATCAAATAAAGAGGCTCATCAGGTATCGTAAAAGGTAGCATGGAAAGAATCTCTGCACAGTATCTGTAAAACAAGGAAATATTTTTAGCAAATCATCTTAAATTCTTAGTAGTAGTGGCAATTTTTTCCCCTTTGTCTATTTTTGGAAGGAAAGTGACAGTACTCACATAAGAAAAGGAACCACAGAATCATTCCATGTTGGTGCCTCAAACTTGTGAACAACAGAGGACATAAATCTGTTTCTTGAGACACGATTTCCACGAATGAGCTTATAGATGCGTGAAACACCAAGCCGAGCAAAATTGGAAGAGCCTCCATCGGACTTCCCCTTCATATCGTTAAATAATTTGGTTTGTCCTTTGGCATTTGGAATTTCAGGAAGACCATTGTTCATGGTGCGAATGAATATAAATGACATCTGAAGGCCATCTCCCAGACGGCTTTCACAGAAAGCTGGGTACCTGAAGGAATATCAACTCTTATAACTTGCATAATAAAATATAGAGCAAAAGGTAGTTTAATATTTATAACGTACTTCTCATTCATATTCATCAAGAGATGATGAGCCAGCTTTGAATTAACCTCATGAGGATCTGTTTCAAGGGCAATTAGATAGGGAACACAAGTGATTGGATGTACAAGGCCCTGGCGCAAGACAATTTCCATGATCTGGAAGCAGGAGAAACAAATCAATATATTAGTAACATACTGTCAATTCTATACCCAACTTATCCCAAGGAAACAGTTTCCACACCAGAGCCACAATAATTGTCCGAAATTAATACGACTGAGTACCAGCTTTTGAAATCAAATAGCCAGGTTATCAATGCAACAAAAGGCATGGATATTCGCTGAGTATGAGGACGAACTTCTGCTTTTAAATGACTTACAGTAGCAGAAAGAAAGAAAAAAGGCCAATGCAGACACACAGACACTAAAAGTGGAGTAAGACAAGATTTCTGGCAAGTAAGTTATAAAAGTTACTCGTAAGTTCTAATAGTCAAACCAAAAGCAAACTAGAACTAAATTTTAGTTTTAAATCACAACCAGGAATTACCGAATTAGCATTGAGTTGAAAATAACTATAAGTAATTTTTTCCAGTTAGAAGTCAAATAATCGTATTTTCTAAGCGACTGCACGTGCTTCCTTTGTCAAATTTGTTGGGGACAATTTGTGAACAACTTGACAGCTAAAGCAAAGTGCGGTAATACACCTTTAGAGCAGCTTGGCGCACATGTTCACTCGCATCCAAGCTTCTTCCTAAGATGCTAAACCAATATAACTGAACTATGCCACCACATATGTTTGTATCACCAGCACCGGCAGCTACAGGCACATTGTTACCAGACACCGAATGAGTAACCTCATTGTCACTCACTTTATCAGGCTCCATTTGACTTTCAGCGTCCAGAAGATATTCGTACATATTCTGTAATGATTGCATCTGGCAAACGGAAAAAGATTTGCACAATGCACAGAATGAATATGCAAATGACACAAAGAGGTCGTACCTTGATACGAGTATCAGCCTTTGCAGAAAGAGTACCCTCAATAATTTTACCGACATCCTTTTGCAACATATACTCGGGACGAGCAATTAAAACATAGCCTAACGCCTGGAGAAATAACAAAGCTACATTTTAAACTTCAAATTGTGAAATCTTAAAAATGGAATATTACAGTAACTACCTGCAGTGCCCGGACTTTGATGATAAAGTCTTCAGCCTGGAGATACTTCTTAAATAAGTTGATGCTACTCCCAACATCAATATTCCTTGCGTTGGAAGTGTTTGCATCCAATAATGAACTACCATAGCGTATTAACAGTCCAAGGCAGAAAAGAGACCGTCCTACTTGCTGAAAACAAAGATATTTTTTAGTACGTATACGTCACTGAGAAAATTTTACAACAGAGAAAGAAGAATTGCAGGAAGAAGCAACATCAATAAACCTTAATTCATTATTAACTAAGAATAGAAAGATGTTTCCATTCAAAGGTAATCATATAACAACAAAAGTTGACAGACACCTTTTAGGTGAGTATTATTTCAGAAAGACTAATAAACTAATGATTAGTTTATAGTAGTTTTCATGTTACAAATAATGTTGATGAGTACATGGCACATGCCTAACAAAAGAACTCAAAAATCCTAGAACAGATAATCAAGTCTAACTATAAATCTTTAGTAGAATTAAAACAGTTAGTTGTTACAGCTACCAAGCATAATTCATTTGAAGATATATAAAGATTGTGTGCATCAGTATGAATTTTCATGACGTTAAACTGTATGACTTTGGCACAAGATGGAAACCAGAAAACGAAATAAAAAGCACCCGGAAATGAGTCATAGTACTAGAACGAGAGACTTCTTCATAGGATTATAGGAATAATTGGGGCTTGCTTGGTTATAAAATAATTTACTCACATTTAATTCATACTCAAAATCTAACTCAACTTTAACCCAACCCCACTATTCTTAATATTATTCATATAATTAAATAATACAAACCAATCATTGTTACACATCACATCAACTTTAATTCACTATTCATCCATAATTTTAACTGCCTATCATTTCCAATCATTTATCTCCTACTTTTACATCAAATCAATTTTAATCATTTTATTTTAAATATTATTTTAATACATTCTTAAAATCCCACTAACAGCTAACCATACCACCTTTTCAAAATTAACTCTAGTTAACTAAAATAATTCATTTTGAATAAAATATTTCATAAACAAGCACGCCCTTAGTGATAAATGGGCCTGGATACAACTCAACCCCAAAAGCTAGCTCAAAGGGAGAGGGTGCCCTACCCACAATTACACAAAATAAAAGCCAAATAACTAATCGATGTGGGACAAACACAACTTCTACCACCCGCCCTCATATCAAATGGGGTGGTCCAAACCCAACATCGCGTCCAAACAAACAAACCCTGGGTGCTCTAATACCACGATAAATGGGCCCGGGTAGAACCCATCCCCAAAAGCTGACTCAAAGAGAAAGGGTGTCCAACGCACGCTTATACACAATAACAGCCAAGTAATCAATTGATGTGGACAAACTAATTGATGTGGACAAACATAACTTCTAACACTTAGCATGTCAAAAAATGAGTCAAAAGCTAAAGAACAGAACACTGAAGTATTGTGTTTGTATACGCATATCAACCTGCTTGTTATCAAACCCCAGGGCATCCAACCGCTTGTAGAACAGCTGAATAAGATAGTCAACAACACTTGCACCTTTTCCGGATACTTTACCAACAGAGCATAAGCACCTAATAAGAGAAGGTAATTCCAGAAAGAAAAGTTTGTTAGATCTTCCACAAATTCAAAGTAAACTTTCTCTTAAAGAAAATCACTCCAGGAAAAGAAGAAATAATCCAGATATGGTTTACCACCAAATACTCCTATAAACTATGACATGAAAAACATCGTAGAACGAAAAGATGAAATCAGATGGTCGGTGAGGGCATAGATCCTCAAGCCAAAGATTTTTTCCCTTCCAACTCCAACAGAAACAAAAATCACATTTAAGTACAGAAGGGCCACAAAAATCCTCATACCCAGGGAACCCATCATAACAGATCCATACTCATTAGGAAATTTTATTTCGTTATTCCAAGACAAAAGGATTTCATCATCAGGAAAGTTGGGAATTTCTTTTTGTCCACAGCAATGTTCCAGACATGCACCTCATTCTCATCAATGTGCACAAATATCTCAGACAACAAGGATATACACTTTAAGCAAAATAAAGGCTATCTGAAGTGTCTCACCAACTATCCATATAACGAAATAATTATTTGTTTATACTTCCAGATTACGTTTTTTTTTTATGTCATAAATTAGAAACTGAATATAGAAACTACCAGAGTACTCAAATGAAAGTGTCGATAAGTACCTCATTGCATAATGAACAGAAAGATTCATGATACATCAATTATTTTGGAAGTTGAGATTATTTAAGAAGAATACCAATCATTGAATGGAAGACAAAAAGTGTCAAATGTAGAAATAAAAATTAGTATGATAAAGTAAATTACTTTATGCATGCATGAACAACTGTCAGAAAAGAATGCCGGACAATCATTTGCTTCAGGTCTTGTTCAAATTCCTCCACAACATTCTGAGGAAGCTTCCGCAGTAAAGGCAAGACAGAATCAATTATGAACAATATACTCTCCATCAGTTGTGCAGCCACTCGATTGTCAGACTGTACGAAAGAGAACTTGTAAGCGAATCTTACTTTAACATCAAGCTTTCAAGAAATTTCCTACAATAAGCCCACCAGAAAAGAAGAGCTCTGCGTCCTTCTAAACACCATGAACATTTTACATGTGCATATATATAAACTTGTATGAAATTACACACTACTATGGAAGTGTCTCAGCAGTTCACCGTAGTATATTGTAACTATTACAGAAGCACCAAATCAATTACTCTACAAAAGTTCCTCATAATCCACCATAGTACGTTGATGTACAATAGTATTTCTAGAAGTCTGCATGAAGGCCAGCTAAATTAAAACAGTGATCAGCCATCAACAAGACACCAAGTAACCAACTATTGAATATTGATAGTTAATATACTAGAAAATCATGCAAGTGATAATTTTACTATCATTCAAATAGCATGAAAAGTAGTGATGCATTGATTGATATACCTGAATCCATATATCAAACCCAAAGAATAGGTTACATTTCTATCATTATCGCAAGACAAAGTTTAACAGGTATAATTTTTAAACTCAATGTGGTATTTTCTAACCTGGATCTTCAGATATGGTTGTAGTGTGATCACAAATTGGGTAGGATCAGAAGCCGGTGCACATAGTGTAGGATCCACAAGACAGAAGGCATGTAGGAGCAGAACATATGGAAGCATACAGTCTTCTCCTTCCCCACTGTTCATTTCAGTAACCTATAGACTCACAACAACACAGCCAAGGAAGAAATAACAGATCATGATTTGAATATGTATTCGTTAATGCTTTAGTTCAATATTTAGAAGGCCAAGGTCAGGAAGTAGTGGCCCATTAAATACTTCCATTATCAATGCTCTTTCAAAACCATGGCACCAGTCATGTCTGAAATACTACTCTAAGGTGCCACCACTTTCGTATACTGTGGAACGTGACTTTTGTTTGGATACTATTGCACACAAACAAGAAGCTTTTGATCAATCTGAGTAACCAATTACAGCTGATGAGAGTTCAACATTCTGAATTCATCTTTCGTTTAGGTAATCACAAATTAACTTCTTATTATTGCACTAAACAGTAACATCTAAGTCTGCAGGGAGCTTGAAAGATTACAATGATAAGCTACTTAAACAAATTGAAAAGAGCAATTTACAATGAAATATCTGCACAGAGAGGGTGGTATTAGTAACCTTTCATAAAAGCAGTACCTGCAATACTTTTTCCAACAGGCACTTGCACATTAGCTCACAGCGCCTTCGTACCGAAGCAAGTAGCACAGGGTTTATCCCTGCAGCTTTGGAGGATTGTGGGAAAAAGTCAAGAGCTAAGTTTCGTCTAATGACAATAGCAAGAGGTTGATGACTGGACATCCTTCTCAACATATCAACAATCTGCTCTGTCTTCTTAGCTACTTCCAATGGAACACAACTACCATCTCTATAAAGATGGCTCTGTGAATCAGAAGGCTCCTCAAACCAAAACTCATAAAATGTCTTGCAGACCAGGTCCTGTGGACGGAGTACATCAAGAACAGAGGACATTACATTCCCACAATATTACAAGGGAGGTTGGGGGTGGGGAAGATCCAACTGTCCAGTTCGGACATCTTTCCAATGAAAATGTCATGTCAGAATCACCAAAGCAAAACAAATCATCTAAACAACAATTAAATTTGGTCCACTCAGAATATGCAAACCAGACCACCGTTACGACCGTTCCTTACCAATAACAGCTACAGGTGAAGTTAAACCACAGTATCACACACATTGAAAAAGAAAGCAAGCAGTTCTAGCAACAGCTTCAAATAAAAACCTCTGTGCAAGAAATAAGAATATAAGTAAGTTATTGTAGCTTATCATAGATAAGACCCCAACTTCTATACACTAACATGAATATTCTTTTATCACTACAGAGATTCAATCACATAATAAGGATCAGCGAAAGATATTGAGCCAAATAGCCAGCAAAAAGGATCATCGCAGCAAATTTTTCTGCAGTTTATGTCTGAATAAGACAACTTTCAAAGAAATTTAAGTCTTTGACACAAAAGAAAATAGAGAAGTACACAAAAAACGGATACTCAAAGTAAACCATGCATCAAATTCATAATTCATTCACTACCTGGATGCTGGATTCTTCATCATTGATACGTGATATTATCTCAACACAAGCAGCCGCGTACTGAGGAAATTCAGCACTGGCGGTACACATATCCCTGATAATTCTAATAGCACGTTTCCGGACACTTACTCCAGTATCCTTTGTTCTCTCAGCTACCTTCTCGAAATACTACAAAAATCCAGAAGTGTGAGAGCCATAGCAGGCAACACGAATCTAAAACAACAGCAAGTCATTACAATACCTTCAGACCAACATCAGGATGAGAAGCAATATGACGGCCAACAAGCTCAAGTGCAGCTTCTCTAGCCGACGTAGCAGAGTCACAAAACCTCCCTTCAACAGCTGTTTGGACAAGCTTGTCCCCCAATACCTCAGGATCAGCTTCTACAATAATACTAACCTGTCGAGGTTAAGGAATAACAGATGAAAAAGGTGTATCACTAATCGAAGAAAATGCACCTCCTAAATCCAGGAAAAAACTGCAAGAAACAAATTAACAAACGAAAAGGAAAGTTTATAGCTAATAGAATGGCTCAAAACATACCGCTCGGAGTGCCTTGGCTCGAATCCCCGGTGCATTCTCTCTCAGGCTTGCCTGATATAGGAAGAAATAGAAATAAATATTTACTCCAAAATATAAGTAGTAAGCATTTCACCTACCAGTAACACTTGAAGAATCTTGTCAAATCCTCGAGCAAAAGAGCTATTTTGTCCCAATGCCAGAGTAATTCTTTTCATTGTATCCCTTGTCAGAAAGGATGAAGAAGCACATGAGTCACGCACTATTGTGCTTGGTTTCATTCTTGTAAGGAAGTATGACAAGTTCTGTTGAGAAGCTGCGTCGTCTTTATACCACAGGCAAAGATAAAACCTGCATGATGATATTCATTAAATCCTGGCCTACGACTATATTCACAACTTAAACATTTCACTTCAGTCACAGACCATCGTGTGAAGAGGTGAGGGTCATCTGCAGAGCCTGCATCCTGTAAATAATTCAGAAGAATTTGTTGGATAATCTCCTGTTTTCTGACTCGAACGGCAACTCGAGAGGACTTTCCCGAATGACTGCGATTTCGCTTCTGCTCATCCTTATTCTGGGATTCAGAGTATTGTTTCAAGGCAAGAAGTTGTTTTTCGCATAAGCAAATCTCACAATTAAAGTTCCAAATAGCATCTTGCTCTTGTCCTCCAATACAATCAACATGGAACACTCTGTTACAACCTTGACATACTAATACAGATTTTTCTATTTTTGAATCCAGGCAAATAGAACAACTGTCTTTTGGAAAGCTAGGATCATCACTGTCACTGTTCATCAGCACCTGCACAATCCAAAACTTTTCCTTCCTACAGAGAAGTGCATCATGTTTCAACCTTGCGGCAATTGTGCCTAGAAGGTCGATAGCCATTGTTCGAGCATTATTATCTTTTGCTTTCAACCCAGCATTCTGAAGTAGTAGCACACACAGAACCTGCAAAAATAGTGGTACAAATATTGATCTCAACCTAGTCTGTATTTATTAAGTATGAAATAATAAATACCTCTAAGATCGTAGCTGAGGCAGGATACTCGGGTAAGTTCAGAGTACTGAGCAAATCCATAACAAGATTTTCCATAATTGTCTTCAGTTCAGATGCATCTTGATTTTTTGTGCTCGTATAACGCTGAAGAACTCGACTCCAGAAGAGACAGCAAGACTCTGTTACTGCCTCATGGCATTTGATTGGATAATCTGCATCAATCGACACGTCCAGGGGAAGATTTCCAGAGGTTTGTCTCATCACCTCAGGAAGATTTGCACTGTAATGAATCATTTGAATCACTAGAGCGGTGACTAACTGTATCTGCCTTTGTTCTTCATCTGGAAGATGATAAGTTCTTGGCACTCTCTTTGAAAGGGGCAATTTCAGGAGGATTTGAAGAGTTTCATCCATCATATGTGATCTATGCTGAGTGTAGGTGTAATAAATCTGCAGATCAAGCATACCCAACAGGTCAGTTCAAAAAATGCATCTCACCAGAGTAAATCAACCAGAATAAGCTTCGGATATTTCATTACCCCACCAACCAAACTGATTGCTTTCAGCTGCAAAAGCTGGATGTTATCAACCAACAGTGTCTGTAAACTAGTTCTTACAAGCTGGAGAATGCAACTATCTGATAGTCGTTCTATCAACAATAGCTGCTTCAGAAAGCTGAGAATAGTGCACAACTTCTGAAGTATGGCATTCGCTGTACCAGACATTCTGTAGAAAAGTCATAATGATTAAAACGAAACAAACGAACTGATAAACTGGACAAATACATTAATCGTAAGCAGAAATGACATAGTTATAGCACTACATAAAATAAAATATCAAATATCCTACCTGTTTGCTGTCGATTTTCTAGCTTTCACACTTTTGGAAGTTCGCCTTTTCTTACTAGCTGAGCCAAAATCCTCATAATCTTCATCATCTTCCTCATCTGATGACCAATATTAAATAAGCGTGTGACAGAAAAAGATGTTTAATTTTGGCTCTTTCAGGGCTGAGATTATATTTGCAGAACTTAATTTAAAAACTAGTTGACTTAGTGGTCTCTTAAATGACCAATATTAAATAAGCGTGTGACAGAAAAAGATGTTTAATTTTGGCTCTTTCAGGGCTGAGATTATATTTGCAGAACTTAATTTAAAAACTAGATCAAATGGTAATGATCTCATGCCCAGAGTATAAGAGGCCTTGCTAAGACCTGTTCTCGTTAAGATAAATTGGTCAAGCATTTAAGAGAGCACTAAGTCAACACAAGGAGGGTAAAATTACTCACTTTAAATAGGAGAAACATTAGTCTTCTTTAAAATGAAAAGGTACAATAATTCTTCAAATTCTTTTAGGGAAAACAGTGATATTACCATTGAACAGCAATAGCATAACATAAGAATTCAAATTAACAGTTAGCAGCATCACATACCATCAAGTGCCCCATTATAATTAGGTTTGTGCAAGGCACGATATGCTGGATCACAAGTGAACATAACATCCAAAATCTGATGTCTTGAGAACTCCAGGATCCTTTCAATATTCTAATACAAATACACCGTAGTTACAAAAAATATATTCTGCAATCTGGCTACTTCTGTTTGACTTTATGCTACAAGGAAACTATATGAAGAAGCATTGAAAATATATTCTCACGGCTAATGAACTTTAACTCATACCTCCTCCTTATAAAGCTGTTTAGGCAAACCATCATGAGCCATAATAGCTAAAGCTGCATGAATAGACTCCAGGGAACAATAAATGGATGTCACAACATCACCGTCCAACTGGAATAGAAGTGAACTATCATAAATTTGATTATAAAAAATAATTATTATAGTAGAAGTTCAACCAAATTCAATCTTTTCAGTCTGGCGTAGGGCAAAACTATGGGAAGTCAGCAATGTCTAAAATGTAAAATTCCCATAATCCTAGTCACAACAGAGAACAGAAGACATACATCAGCCACAGACAGAGACTATTAGAAATGAGCCTGCAAGGGGGAAACAGACAAATCCCAATTTTTCTCCCAGTCCGTGCACTAATTTGAGGTCTCCAAATGAATTCAATTTGTAGAATTAAAAATCAAGGGCGAACTGCAACAAATCCCCTATTGTAGAAAGCATAAAAGCATCGCCCCGTGCGCACTAATTTGAGGTCTCCATAAAAATTTAATTTGTAGAATAAAAAAATTGTGCGCGAACTGAGAGTAGTAAGTACTAAACAACTCCTTCTATGTCAGAGATTAAGTGGAAAGAGGAAAAGTAGCATGGGAGAACTTGGCGAAGGTCGATGTAGAGTACACGAATTAGAACTTTAATGGTATAAATATATGAAGGGTAGATAGTAGACAAATCTGACAACAATTTCCATGTTTAAATTGGGAAGCGTACAGATGAGATTCTAAAAATGAGGATTTAAGTACCATAAATGTGGTCATGAGATACTGTGGTCTTATAGTTTCTTATACAGGATTATCATGGACAAAATTGCCCCTATAGAGTGTGAATTTTCCAAAGTGGAACAGACATGGTAGTGGGAGTATCATCAACATCAAGTAAGCTGAAAGGTCGCCTTTTATGTGAATTAAGATAAACCGCATCCTCTTCAATTCCATGGATGATTTTGAGACATAAATTTTTCCAATAGAGGAGATTAATTGGCACATTGGCATTTTCTAGTTCAAGGTCAAACTACCACTGACATTGGAAAGTATCTAGAAAGGAAACAAAAACAAAAATTACAAGTACGTGGCAACTGGAAAACACTAAAGTCAATCTCGACATAATAACAATAGAAAACAAAGAAGAAAAAATGTCGATAGAACCAAAAATGTAAAACTGAATATAAAAGCTAACATTAATATTTTACTTTCTAGGGAACAAAGGAAATCGTGATTTGCCTATGGAAGAGTCATTGATCCATGATGCACCAAAGCTGGGAGATGATCAATGCAAAAACAAATTACAGCAACACACTAGGAGCTACTCAAATCCTACAAAAAGTAGTTGAAAGGATGCTTGGATATAATTGTTTTTCAAAACAATCCAATCATTTTTAACCAATCACTTTTTTTAACTCAACTTCAACCCAACCCCACTATCCTCAATATTATCAATATAATCAAATAATACTCAATCAACCATTACACAATACATTAACTTTAATTTAGTATTCATCTATTCACATAATTTTAACTAACCATCACTTCACGTCATCTCTCTCTTACTTTTACCTCAAATAAATTTTAATTATTTTATTTTAAATATTAATTTAATATAAATTCAAAACCCCACTAACAACTAACCATACCACTTTTTCCAAAAGTAACCATACCAAACTAAAAAATCCGAACAAAACCAAAATAATTTATATCTGAGGAATTTATAGGCTGTATATAGCAAGGTAAGGTGATCTCAACTTTCCTTTCTGAGACAAAGAGAGACAGGGGCCAAATGGCACGGAATAGAGATGGAGGAAGAGGGTGAGACTTTAAATGATAATTTGATTAAGATTTTCCCCTCACTGATATCCCATAAATCCCACCATCTTAAATAATCAATTCAATAACTTATTATGGAAACATGATCAGAGGTCTTATAAACTTTACAAATGTCTGACAGGATTTAAGAGCTTCTAAGATCACTTGAATAAGCTTAGTTGATCACCCTTTAAGCATGGAAACCAGGTCCAGGGTTTCCACATTAGCTATTCTACTCACTGCAATGTATTTGACTATTTTCTACTGGAACGTTTCAAAAAACAAAGCTACAGAAACATAGAGCTACACTCTGATTCAAGATCTAGTCATTAGAAACTCCCTTAGAAATAGAAGTCTTGATAAGGCACGGAATCAACGAGGATTCACATTAGGTTACCACCATTTAGTCAGAAAAGAATCAAAATCGCCCTGCCTCACACACGTCAACAATCAAATTGCTCAGAAATCATAAGGTAACGCTTTTGTTTTAATTTATCAAAAACTAGATTTGTTCAACACTTCAACTCTTATGATTTAAGATAACTGGTTTAATAAAATGGGGTTAATTGAGTCAATATTAAATAATATAATTCACATATGCATAAGGTTATTTCTGTAGCACGTGTTACTGTGATACCATAAACACTGCCCAGGAGATTAGCATTGTTAATTTTAATAACAACAATTCGTGTAAGTTAAATCAAACAATTTTTAAGAAGAAAACATGTAGATCAGCTTATGATGATATAATAGCTCGTAAATATGAAGGGGTAGCTCTTGGTGGCAAATATAGAACTCATCTACTGTGCTAAAATACATAAAATGGACAAATCATATAAAAGACTGCAATTGTTATAAATCATTGATAAAAGGTTCAGCCACAAAGAACCTCTGGTTGAAACAATAGGACAACCGGTCAAGGAAAATTATATTAAACAACCAAATCACAGACTGAGTGTGAAGACAAATATTTTATACTTACATTGTCACTATCATCAATGGACAGTCCTTCTGCCCGGTGAATTTGTTGATCTAGAACTTTTAATGTTCTTGAAAGAATATCCGCAGGAACCATATGAAGTAACTTTTTTGACCTGATAGACATTATAGCATTTACAAGTGATTTAAGATCAGCTTGGGTCAATGGAACCCATTCTGGCTCATCCCGATCATCACAGAGAATTTCAGCTCTGCCACAAATGTCCTCCAACAATTCACAAAAACTTGTAATGGCTGCATCTGAAAAAGGGTAAAGACTCATCACTTCAGATATTAAATATACAGAAGCAAAAAAATGGCCAAGCTAACCCCAATTCTCATATCCAGCAGGGAGAAGAATAAACAGTGAAACCTTGATGCTCTTTGGAATCAGGAAAAGTTGCTGATGGCAAATCATTGTTGCGTTTCATTTTCGCTTTAGGTTTCCTTGAAGAATTGATAATGCCCTGAAATAACATGAATTTAGTAGCCAGAATAAGTCATTTTTATTAGTCAATTGAGTTCTAGATTGGTTACATTTTCTCACTTATCTTTTTTTAATTTTATAAGTTTTGAGAAGTGCGCTTACATTACGGTCTTGCTGATAATTTTTAGTTGTTAAAGGGTCATTCGGCACTTGAGCAGCAATAACAGGCACACTTTGCTCAATCGACTTGGTTTCAGTTAAATTACCACTGTCCATTGACTCCTTGGCAGGACCTGAGAAACTTGAAGTATGCAATGAATAATAAGCCAGATCATATATGTTGTCTATAGCACACAGCTTGTAATATCATTTCAGTAATAGCCTGGGAGGGGAAGAAAACCAGATAAAAAATTAACAATTATTTGAGTTCTACAGAAGAACAGAGGAGAAGCAGCTACAGAAACCAAAAACAGCGAGCATGTTTGGATATAATTTTTTTGGTTTTGTTGATTTTTTGGTTTGGTTTGGTTAATTTTGAAAAATGTAGTATGGTTAGTTGTTAGTGGGTATATTACAAATAATTAAAATTTATTTGATGTAAAAGTAGGAGAGAGATGATTTGAAGTGATGGTTAGTTAAAATTATGTGAGTGGATGAATAGTATATTAAGGTTGATGTGTTGTGTATGAATAATTGATTGATATTATTTCATTATATTGATGATAGTGGGGTTGAGTTAAAGTTGAGTTAAAAAAGGTGGTTGAGTTAAAATGTTGAAATATTTTTTAGATTTCTTGTATACAAACAGATTTCCCACTCATGGTAAGAACTGCAATTGCAGGATAAGAGGTTTTTTCGTATAAGCAGCAAAACTAAGGATTTAAGAAGATACAATGTTGTTCGGTCACACCATGTGTATGAGCATCACGCATCGTAAAACTTCGTTCAAACAATCCACAGTGAAAATCATTGATATGCAAACAGGGTCACATAAGGTGTATGCACTATGCAGAAAGACAGTTCACTAGAACATTTAGAAATTAGAATATGGCTGTCATTACCAGATAGGCTGACAAGAAATCTGAAAAGATATGACAAATATTTCTAAAATTAGAATGTAGTCTGAAGTTATTTATCAAACCCTTTCACAAGTAAAATTATTTCGACTAAAAGTAAAACTGTGGGGCATCGTGTCCTTTTATATGCCAGCCATGTAAAAACCCAAATAATTGCTGTTTAAGAAATACTTTGACATAAATCTAACTTATGGTTGATAAAAAAATTAAAATATAACTTTAAATATAAGGAATGGACACTTACCCAATTCACAAGTGACACAAGTTGCAAATGAAATTAAAATGTTATCAGATGATATGAAAAATCTATAGAACGATTTCTTATAAAAAAGCTAAAGAAACCGCATACAATAAATGACCAAATTGAAATTTTATAAAAATATAAAAGAACGGAACGCCATTCATGGACCATTTTACCTGGAGTAATATACTCAAATGCTTCGGGATCATGTCTAAGAACATCATTGAATAAGTCAGAGTTTCCCACTGGACCTCCCGAGTGAAGATTATCTTCATCCTTCAGATTCCTAAATATAAAACTATTTCAGCCCAAACTTTCAACCTCAAAGTTGGTAAGACAAGCCTAGCTTACTTTTATTAAAAAAACAAAAAAAAAAAAGAATCTCAATCCTAGAACAAATGCCACGATGCAGGCTCTTAAATTGACACCACAAATCCAGGGAATGTGCGAAGGAACTGATAAATAAAGATACATACGTGTGATAGGTCACAACAGATAACAACATTTTTGTGGAAGGTGCAAAATCATTCAGAAGCTAAAAGCAATAATATGTCATAATTCAGGCTAAAAGTAAAAGCAATTGGCTATAGCATTTACTATAACTTCATCCATAAGGCCATCATAATCAATATAGCAACATGTCACAGACTGATGTTGGAATTTACATTTACTACTTCAATGAAGTAAGCATATTAATCGTCTTCTGTGTCAGTCACGTTATCGCTACAACTATGGATGTCAAAATATCATGGAATCTCGTCATTATAGTACTTTCCACTTTATAGTTTTAAAGTTGTAAATGAAGAGTGTTTTTCAAATGTTTAAAAATACTAGGTTTTCATGTCTGTTAGATGAGTTGCCTATTCTCAACAATATCAAGATTTTAGCCTTCATCAAGTTTTATGCAAGCTGCATAATAGCTGGTACAAACAAATCCCCTATAAAGTTGTCACCCTCATCTATTTATGTTGTTCTGTCCATTTCCATTCTATAACCTAGTCACAGCAAGTACATCCCTTCAATTTCTATAAACATACTTGCACGCAGAGTCACTTCTCTCTCAAACAAACACACTCACACACCAAAACACAAAGAAAACAAACTACTCAAACACCCTACACATTGCAACACGCAAACACGAACACAAAATAGTCACACAAAGTTACAAACTACTCACAGAAACACAACATATAACGCACAGAAAGCGCATCACACAAACACACACCATACACTTTTCACATACTCGTTACCATATTCCACACACAAAAAGAACTTCGCACAGGCATATACCTCACACTGACACACGACACACGTAAGTTTCTCTCACATATAAACAGACACTGCTTATCGTCACAAAAGATGCAGGCATGCACTAAAAATTTACAAAACTTCGTTCTTATAAAATTATAATTTTCTATTAATCATTAAATATTTATACAAAAAAAGAAATGAATAAATATAACTTGTAATGGATCTGAAGTCTTCACAAATCCACACTAAACCCAAACAATAAATTCGAAATGAACAGAATTGAAATTCACAGTATTTGAGCTCCACAATATTTCCGAACACAGGTTAAAAACTACTGTGTCCTGTTTCATATTTCCTCGAATTACATGCTCTCAATTCGAGTTGGGAAAAATTACCCGGAGCTCAGGCCGGGCTGATCTATCAATTCTCATCCAAGCAATACGATGAAATTCTCCATGATTCAATGTTCAAAACCAATTCTCTAAAGTTAAGAAAGGAAACCTAACGAAGATTCCTTTAAAGGCTTCCAGAAATCTAAACTAACAATACCAATAACGGCTTCCAGAAATCTAAACTAACAATTCCCATTCAAATCAAGACCTCATATCCAAAATATTTACTTCAAATCCAAAATCACCACCCTACTCATGAGCTAAAGTTCCTCAAACCATACACCAGAACTGATAACCAGCACTTAAGCACAAACTCACAGGTAGGACACGTCAGCATTGCGGAGCAGTTCGGCAATCTTGCCGGAAACATCACCACGACCGGAATTCCAGCTCAAGCCACCGCCGCCGTCTTCAAACAGGCGGAGTTCCTGATCGAGCGCGCCGCAGAACACCGGGAGCGACGGCAGCGGCAGGCACGGCGCCACCTCTGAATGAATAGTGTTCGAGAGGTTTATCCCCTTTGGAACCTCCTCCCCACCGCTCCCTCCGGCTGGATTCGACATCGGAAAAAGTGAAATCAATCCAGCAAAATCTCCGATTGCATAGGCAATTGAGGGATGATTTTTGGGGGAAAGTGAGGGTTAGCCCTAGAGAGAGCAGAAGCAGGTGAGTAAATGGAGGACAAATGGCGGGGAAAAAAGTGCAGTAAAAAAATTTGGGATTTTTCTTTAGCGAGACCAGTGCCGAGCTAATATGACTGCTCTGGGGTGATTTATATGTCGCCGTGAAAAAAAGAGTCAACAGTGGTATCGAGATAGTCACACAGCTCTGTGCCAGCGGGTTATATGGTACGTCGTCGTACGCTTTCCGCAGGGCGTGAAGCTTGTGATAGACGCTGAGGATTAAACTCTTAATCAAGTAAAGCAATAAATTGATAATGGTATAAACTATTTTAAAAAAAAAAATATATATATATATATATATAGTGTAAATGATTGATAATTAAAAATCTAATGAGTAATGGATAATGAATTTTATTGAAAACTTTGTATAATTGTTTTTTAAATATATTTAAATGTAACTTTGCCTCAAAAATCTATTTATCTATCTAGTATATAAAAAGACAACGATATTTACTTGAAATAGTAACTAAAAATCAATAAAAAATATTTGGCTTCCCTCCTAAAAATCCAGATTTACTAAATTGGGTAATTTTTTAGCTAACTTTGAAAAAATCTCGTCTAAATTAATGTAATTAATGTACATAATCATTTTGGTTAAGTATTGCGTCTATTACATTTATTAATTGCATGATTTAAATATATAACATAATATACTAAAAACTTGCAGTTATTACTTTAATTAGTTGCATGGTTTAATTTGGTATATA